TATTGAATTTCTATTACATTAAAAACATAAAAAATATATCACTCAATAACAGCTCTTTGTGGTAAATGATTTTCTCAATTGACTTCTTGTATTATGTTAAAAATCATGGGGACCTGTTAGAAGTTTAAGCCATTTTTCTGCAGAAGGGAACTAAACTGGCAGATTACTGCAAAATTTATTTATTCTACTGAATTTCTATTTATTCTGGAACAGGGGTGTCAAACTCAAGTCATCACGGTGTCATCACATGACATATTGGAACTTTTTTTCCCCTTCGTTAAACTGGGAATGGGTGTGGCCAGCACATGATACATCCGGCCCTGCAGGCTAGGAGTTTGACAAGCCTGTTACCATCTAGAAGGATAGATGGTAACAGAAAATCAGAGCAAGTCAGTAAAAACAGGGTTGCAGAATTGCTGAAATGTTTCTACAAAGTGTAGATTTGAGAAAGGACAATAGATAACGTGAGATAAAACCCATATCATTCAGGAATGTTGCATTACTGTTTTGTATCATGGTGTTCTAGGGATGATCTAGCACTTTTCCAGAAGTCAAGCTGGCTGTTCTAGCTTGGACTACTAGTTTCCAAGATAACCTGTTTTCCAGTTCAGAGGATTAATTTTCAAAAAACTACTGGAGTACCTTCAGAATTGGCAGAATGAAATGGTCTGGAGAAGAAATGTCACGTTCTATATTTATCTAGAGCATCCTAAAGGTTTCTAAAGGTTTCTCACAACTTAATGTTACCCTTTGAAGGAGTATTTCTACCTCACACTAAAACTAATCTGTTCATATTGCTGGATTCTTATTCCAATTTCTTATATTTTAAGCACATTTTTAAAAACCCCGAAGAACTAAGGCAAGAACTAGAGAAGCAGCTTGAAGCCTGGAAGATTAGAAATCCTTTAGAGGTTGGTAACATATTTAATTAAGGATATCCTTGTGTATTTTTTTTAATGAGAAAGGTAAATAAATCTTGTTTTGAAGTCATGTTAAGTACTATTGCTTAATTGTCTCAAATTTGTGTGGCGGTCCTGATAATCTTCTGCAGTATGTAACTGCCGTTTTTTATAATCATAAAATTGTACAACAAATTACTTACTTTACATTAAATAAGTATTAAATGTTACATCTGAAAGCCTGTGAGAGAATTACTAAATTACTGACATCAAGGTATTAAGAAATGATGTACTCTTAACGCTGTTTTATTCAAAGGTGTTTCTGGATTTTTTAAATAAATATTGGAAGCTTGAAGTGTGGACACATCTAGTATTTTTAATACACCAACACTGGGAACAAATACTAATTTTCATAGACACCCTGGATGTGTATTCTGCATTACTGCTAGTACTGTAGTTAAAAAAAACCTGTTATTTTATAAACAGTCTGGGTCCCATCACCACTTTTTAACTAATGGGTATTACGTGGGTTTTGTCTTGTACCTGTAGGGGAATGCAGCTGCCGAAGAGATGTGGCAGAGATACCTTCTGCTCACTGAACCTCTTTCACAGCAGCTCTGTGAGCAGCTCCGACTCCTCCTGGAACCAACTCAGGCAGCCAAGCTGAAGTAAGTAGAGCAAAAAGGAGGAACCAGCGAAACAGTTTGATCAGCAGAACAGAGTTTTATAGTGAAATTCATAACACAATGAAATCAATGTTGTTTAGGAACTGCCTCAGCTATTCACACATATATATGTATGAACAAGACTGTTTGCAAATAGGTCAAGAAACACAAATAATAATAAAAGAAAACACTGTAACAAGTGTGGACATTTATGACAACAAAAGTCATTGTGAAACTGATTAAGGCCTAGTCAGTTTCAACCAGCAGTGCTAGTTGTGGGAGAGTTTTAATTTTAATCTTATTTAGTTAAAGTCCCAGAGGAGAACTTGAGGTTAGCCCTTTTTAAGGAAGAACTGCACTGCAGAGAAAAGCATCTCAGAAAAACAGTTTGTTTAAGCGATCTCTTCATCCTGCAGGAAGACAAAAAAAAGGGGGAGGGGAACAGTTGGGCACTGGACACTGCACTAGAGAACTTTATCTGAATGAGATGGCAGCAATTAATGATCTTTGCACCATCTCTCTCACATGGTTCATTTAGCGACCATGTCACTTAGCAGCCGTTTCTCCAGAACCATAGTCTTATAGTCACTAAACAAGGACACCAGTAGTCATTAAATGGGCACATTAAAAATGTCAATTGAATTAACATTCTGAGTCCAATGGCCATGTATCTTGATTAAATGCTATTATCACTTTTTCAAGTGCATTAATTCTTAATTATTGACTGCATTTATGTATTGCCGTATTCCATATTTTAGTATGATCCAAGAGTCTTATTCCTTTAACTACAACAGCTTAACTATTTTAGTATAAGCATTTGCAGACTGAAATCTATATGTCCTTGGAGTTTGTATACCTGCAACAAGACTGTATAGTTTGACAATATAATCTGCATATTCTTAAATCTTTTATCTTTTATTTTTATTGAAAAAGTTTTAACCCTTATGCTAGTAAAGATATGTTTACCAATCTGTAAGTTGTGCTTCAGAGAGATGTCTGAATAAATACTTTCAGAGCCTAAGAACAGAGAGCAGAAAGACAATATTCTTCAGAAACTAAACCAGAGTAAAATATGCATAATCAATGTTGGCTCAGCTGGCACAATTTATTCAGATTGCAAGATTAATTGAGATTGCAGAAATAACACATGGTTCTGTTTATCTGGAAAGTAACAATAGCAACAGTTTTTTGCAATTTGTATCTAATATTTTGGATTTCTCCCTAGGTTTTTATTTTTAGAAGAGCTGTGAAAAATATTTAAAATGATTTCCAACCCTTTGTCTCGACCAACATCACATTTTCCTATTATCAGACAAGTGCAATAACCACATATGTAGAACTATAACAATTTCTTCTAGCAATCTTAAACCAATATTTCTGATAATTAAATCTTTGCTGAGTTGTGCAAAACTCATATTCTGCTTAGGTTATTTTCATAAATGTTATGTTTGTGATAAATATTATATGTCATAGTGTTACGATATTTATAACACTGTGTTATAGTGTTAATGTTTTAAATGTTCCCAATTACCAGAGGTGATTATAGAACAGGAAAAAGGTTGAACATGCGCAAAGTAATTCCATACATTGCAAGCCAATTCCGAAAAGATAAAATATGGTTACGAAGGACCAAACCCAGCAAACGGCAATACCAGATTTGTTTGGCCCTTGATGACTCTGCCAGCATGGTAGACAATCACTCTAAACAGGTAAAAAATTCTAAATATAGAACATTCTGATCTTACGGGCCTGGATTAATTTATATTTGTTCTGTGTTTCCTCCTATACTATGTACTGTTATGGCCATTTCGTAGGCAACCATTCAGAGTTATGGGGATTCGTAACATATGATAATTAACACCCCAAATGTTGTAGCACCCCATGGTTACATGATGAAAACTTGGGCATTAGGGGCAATCCATTTGTTCTTCATGGGGGCACTTCTCCCAAATGCTTCTCTCTCTACACACACACACCAATCTCTGCCCTTTTGGCTCCCCTGCGCTCACTGGTCTTTCTGCCACCTTGCCCTTACCGGCTCTGCCGGTTTCCAAAACCTTGAAAGAAGACTGTGCCTGATTTGGACAAGGCCATGCTTAAATTGGGACAAAGGGCAAGCATGGCCAGGAAGGGACTCCTGAAGGGCCAGGTTGGGTGTGCTCATCTGCAGCAGCAGGAAAAAGCTAGCAAAGGTCAGCTGTGGGTAACAAGGCTGGAAACGCCAGCAGGACCAGCAAGCGTATTAATGGCAAAGCCAGCAGAGTACAAGGCATCCACAAGGGCAATTGAAGAGGACAGAGTTTTCCACTTTATGAAACTTCGGGATTGAAAGGGATCAAGCCAGGAGTGGTTTGGATCAGGGTGGATCCTTGGCACATGACCTGTAGGATTTGCTTAACAACAGCAACCAGGACTGCGATGATTGCTGCTATTAAGCAATACAGTGTCTTGATGTTGTGCTTTATGATTGCATCGCTTAGCAATGGAAATTTTTGTCCCCTTTGTCATTGTAACTCGAAGACTGCCTGTGGCTCATTCTGTCATTCTCGTGCTTTTGCTACTTGGGGTTTCTCAAATGCCAGTTCTCATTCAGAGTTTAAATATCTCACTGCCCGTCAATGGATGTACAGACATCTCTGCTTCTGCCCCAATGACTGTTTAGTACTTGAGATGCTTGATGTTTTTAAAGAAAGTGTCATTGTGATTTTCTAATTTCTTGAAGAGTTTGTGTGAAGGTATGTGGCATCACAAGCTTTCAGAAAAGGTTTTATCGATGGCAAACATTTTTAGAATTTTGCAGTTTAAATGTTAATTCTGTACCAAATTGTTTATATTAAAACCTACTGATAATAGTTACTATTAAACCTACTCACCAATGAACTCCAACTGTATCAACTTGTTCTCTGTAGCTTGCATATGAATCCTTAGCAGTGATTGGGAATGCATTGACACTTTTAGAAGTGGGACAAATTGCAGTATGTAGGTAAGAATATCTTAAACCTTTATTGACTTTTCAGTAATGAAAATTAATTCTTGCAGGGGACACAGTTTTTAAAAATATGTTTCACTTTATTTTAGTTTTGGAGAGACAGTTCAGCTGCTACATCCATTCCATGAACAATTCAATGACCGATCAGGAGCAAGAGTACTACAGCTCTGCAAATTTGAACAAAAGAAGACTAAGCTAGCTCAGGTATCATCACTTCTTAAGGTCATGTTGTCCATTGCCTTACATCTGTTTGCATTGTAGAGACAAATCTGAGATCCTGCTGGTGTACAAGCTGAATGGCAAGATCCTTCCCCAAGTTTTTAGAATTGCCTTTGGGTTGATGGTGGAAGTAGCCTTTAGATGAGATGGGTAGCACATAAATCAAATGAAGTATTTCCCCACTTGTTGGTGCCTCGGGATTTCACTCTACCTGTTTGGGTGCTGGTTGTGATAAACCTCAGGAGTTCGTGTTCCCCATGATAACCATAGACTTGTCTCAAATACTGGGCCCAAATCATAATGGTGGTAACCCCTTAGATCTTATCATTTTCCCTGAGCAACTGATATTCTGGAGAGAGGAGGGATTTCCATCATCATGGTCATATCACCCCTGATCTGGTTACAATTAAGAACCATCTGTGAACTCTGTAGGGTGATGGGCTTCATTGTTCTGCCCCAGTTGGTTTCCAATGGGGGCATGGGGAGTTTTTCCCTGGCTGTTGCTTTTCCGTGACCCTCTCTAGAAGTGAAGCACCAGAAACAGTGTCTGGAGCATAATTGGAGCAAGACCAGAAGTAAACACAACCAAGGACAGAGACATACTTCTGTTCAGGCCTTCATTATGGCAATAAAAGAGACTGTGTTTACTTACTGGCTTCTTGTCCAGTGGCCTTAATTGGGATGATCAATTCCTTATTGGATGTAGAGAGGGTGACAGGAATTCTCAGCACTGAAATGGCTCCTTTGCCATGTTGTTGTAATGACTGCAGTAACTCTTAACAAAATGGAACCCAGGGTATTGCTTAATTTCTGCTGAGGAAAAGAATTATTTACTTTGTTCTATCAGGAAACCATCTCAAAATGAAATAACGCTTACTGCTATGCTTCAAATAGAATTTGGAAAAATATAGTCTTAAACGTGTATAATTCAAATTAGGGCATTTTCCTATTCTTTGTCACAGAATCAGTGTGACAGTTTCAGGGCAGAGGTTGTTTCTCACAATATTTGTTTTTTGTGTTCTTCTAACAGTTTTTAGAATCATCAATAAATATGTTTGCTGCAGCACAACACTTGTCTTCAAACATCAATCCAGGTGTGTCTTTGACTCCTTTTTTTATAATCACTGATGCCACGCAGTAGCATACTTTAAGTGAAAGCTGTCCGAGTTGTTCTGGAATCAGGCAACTTCTAAACTGAATAAATAAATAAAATCTCATTGACTATAAGAGTCTGTAGTTGCTGATTGGTTGATAAAGGTGTGCCTAGCATTCAAGGTCACAACATCTCAAACAGAATGGCCCTTGTTGCACACTGGAACAATGTTGAAATGGGTAACTCAGTTATTGGAATGTTTAAACTTAAAAATGTTGTGTTGAATAGTACTTCTTAATAAATGTTCTAAAGAAGAAACATTTGAATTCTTAGTTCCTCAATTCATTTTTTAAACATTTTTATTAAGTTATAAAGTATTATAAAATACAATATACAAAAGTAAATAAAAGCAAATCATTACTCTATTACTAGACAGATTAAGATCTGTTTCTTCAGTTATGTACAAGATATTCATCAATATTATGTTTTACTTTAAAAAATTATTTAGAGTCCATTTAGTTTATCCTATATAGACAATACATTTTTAGAACATTTTCATTTTTTAAAATACTAGGCAGTACAGAGCCTTTATAAATTCTTGGAATATTTTTTGTTTTCTGTATATTTGATTCAGGGCTTTATTAACAATTGAAAATATATCTCTTACTAGAAACTGCTCAGTTACTCCTAATAGTATCAGATGGAAGAGGTATTTTCCTTGAGGGCAAGGAACATGTCAAAGCAGCTGTTCAATCTGTGCAGAATGCAAATATCTTCGTTATTTTTGTAATATTGGACAATCCTAATTCACGGGTAAGTTATATATGCATCTGTGCTACATTTAACTATGAAAAAGCATGTTATATATAGTTATAAATTTATAATATTAGATATGTACTAAGTTACCCTTCAAATGGTAGCAGTAGAAAGAGCTTTTTACTGCTGCTGCTGCTGCTGCTCTTGTTGTTATAACCATTTATTATACTGTATTTGCAAATGATTGCTAACTGAGGTTGTTAATCAAGTAGTGACTGTAAAAATTAAAAGGTTGGGGGGGGGAACATAATTATCAGGAAGAGAAAAATCTTGTTTTTTGTGCTGTCCTCCTGACCATTTTCATTTGATTTAACACAAGCAAGTGTACACAGAATATTACTTGATTGTAAGAAAAGTTAAATCTGTAATTCAGTATTTACTTTTGTTAATTTGCTATTTTCATTCACAGGATTCAGTCTTGGATATTAAAGTACCTGTATTCACACGGCCTGGAGAATTGCTAGAAATAAGGTCATACATGGAAGAATTTCCCTTTCCTTTCTACATAATTCTTAGAGATGTGAATGCCCTGCCAGAGACTCTCAGTGATGCCCTTAGGCAATGGTTTGAACTGGTGACTGCTTCAGACAGTTTGTAGAGTGCACCAAGATTTCATCCAAGCGTATAAGCTGATGTTCAAGGGGGCCAGAAATCCAAGACCTCAAACTTGCATTTTCCCTTCTCAGTGCAGGAGACCATGATGAACTCAGACATCATCCCTAGTTTCCTTGCCAGTATTGGGAAACAGTGAAAAAACATATTTTTTCTTTGTTGTTGTTATTTTACTTTCAGTAAGTTATTCTAGGGTTTATTTGATATCCTCATCATTAGGAATTAGGCAGGCTTGTTGAATAGTAAGAAGCAAGTTTTGCTTCCAAAAGAGGAAGTTGAACTTGAACTGTTGAACTATAATAAAAATAGTTTGCTTTTAAGTCACCTGCGTGAGTGGACCCTGTGTTGAGGAGATGGGGAGGTTAAATTTTACACAGCCAAAAATAATAATTTCCTTTGAATACTTGAAATTATTCAATATTGCTAAATGGTTGCTGCAAGGGTATTTTTGTTACATTAAAGACTGAATTATCATTTTACACTGTGACTTTTGCCTTCTGTCCAAGGCAGTTATTAGGACACACTTGCAAGGGATTTTTTCTCCCCAACCCTTTTTCATTGCAAAAACTATGCATTGTTTGTGATTATTAATAAAGCCATCTTTTTGTTTGTAGTTATGGTGTTCATTGGTTGAAGGAATTAACCAGGTCTAAAATAATCTAAATAAGGATTAAACCTGAGAACGAAAGTAAATTCTGACACTGTCTTGAACTTGTCCATTCTTGTATGTAAACCAAAGATCGATGTAATGATTACTGCACTATTTCATGGAGTCCAGATGTGGCTGGTACTGCTGACCCAGGCAAAGTTACCAATTAAACAGGAAGGTTTATAAATGGAAGTTGGAGGAAATATTATTTCTTGTATAGATGCAATAATCATAAATTACAAAGGGGATATATACAGTCCTTGGAAAGCAGCATCTGTCTGATATCTACTGAATGTCTACCTCCCCAGACCAATATTGAACTGAAAGCCATACGATACTGCATGCATTAGAACTTAATATTGCAAAGTATTTAGAGTTTACGTAGCACAGAATTTAAAGTACTTTGTGAGAGCCAGTTTGGTGTAGTGGTTAAGACATCAGGTTAGAAACTGGGAGATCATGAATAGTAGTCCTGCCTTGGGCACAAAGCCAGCTGGGTAACTTTGGGCTAGTCACTTTCTCTCAGCCCTAGGAAGGAGGCAATTTGCCAAGAAAACTTCTGGGATTTGTCAAGATAGTCTCTAGAAATCAGACCCAGTTGAACAGAAGGAAGAGAAACTCTTTATAATATCATGAAACAGCAGTTTTTTTACATTCCTAAAACAAACCTTTTTTAAATTACTTAATATGAAGTTACTTAAAACAACTTTTCTATAAATGGCTTTATGTAAGGTTAGATCTTGATAATTGGGACATGTAATAAATCAAATCATGAAGATTGCAAGGTATGTTACCATCATAACACTTTTCCATTTTATAATCTCACAAGGATATCTGTAGACTAGAGTAAAAGAACTGCGTTGTTTCATTGGTTAAGTTCCTCTTGATATTTTTCTGCTAAAAATTATATTCTGTAAACCTTGGGAATTTCTTGTTATGGATGAGTCTATTTTGGTTATAAAGATCCAAATTTGGACAACATACAGGATGTGATTTATGTCAGGCAATTATGATCTTTACCAACAGTGTAAAATGGCTGTCCAAAATAAAGCAGAACTACCTCAAAAGCTTCAGGCATAAAGGAAGAACATTTGATAAAATAAAATCTGATAGCTCAAGATAACTTCTTGCACTGTTTATTTCCTGGTCTCTTAAGTATTCAAATAGAACAAAGGAAAGTAATACTGATGGCTTGTAGGCTTTTGTGATAGTGGTGAATGAGGGAAGCCCTTCATTTTCTCATGTGGTAAAGCTGTCCATTCTTACCCAAAAGCCTCCAGATCCGGTATTCTTTCATTGTCTAGAATCTAGCATGAACTGCATGATTTATATCTCCCTGAAATGCCTCAGTGATGTTGAGGTCAGGAGACTGATGGCCCCTCTAGAACCTTCATTTCATTCTGCTGTGGCCACTGAAGGATCAACTTTGTTTCAGATCATCGTCATGTTGGTAAAGTTTCTAGAGAGAAAAAAGGCTGCATAAAGTTGAGAAAGGAGTCCTGGTGTAGCTAGAATGCAGTATTGCAGGCTAACTCTACCCACAGCCTGGAGTTCGATCCTGACTGGTTCAAGATTGATTCAGCCTTCCATCCTTCTGAGATTGGTAAAATGTGGAGCCAGATTGTTGGGCAGCAATATGCTAACATTTGTAAATTGCCCATAGAGTGGTGTAAAGTATTGGAGGTGGTATTTAAGTCTTAGTGCCATTGCCACTCCAAACTATGAATGCAAATTTTCTTTCAACATTTTGTAGCATTTGGGGTAGCAATGCCTTTTTTTTTTTTTTTGGCAAATCAAGTAGGCAGTTTTGTTAGCAAGTATTTTATTGTGCATTCTGAAACAGCCACCCCACAATTTCAGAAAAGCATGTATTTTAGTGTAAATTGTGGGTTTTTCTGCAGCCCTACAAATTTTCCTAGCAGTTGTACATGCCATCCTTCTTGACCATGACTTGATATTTACAAAACCCCAAATATTCCACTTTTTGATCAGAGTTTGAACAATATTGATAGGCATTTTCAAATCTTTGAGCATCTTTTTATATCCTTTCCTGGATTTATAAACTTGAAACTATTTTTTGCTTGCAGATCCTTTGTCAATTCTTTTGCTTTCCCTATGCTTCAGTAACCAACAAAGTCAATGTACCATTTCTCAAGAGCTAAGAAACTATTTATACAAAGACACTAAATATAACCAAGACACGGGTGTGAATACTTTAGCTTCATTGCTATCTCAACATATATATGACAAGTTTAGACTGCATTATAAGCTCAAATATGGGTTATTGAAACTTTTGAACCAAATCATTTTATTATTTCCTTTGTTGCTACGGTTTTCTTCATGTCTTATTCTGCAATCCCTAGTTTAATTTGAATCATAAATTTTAAGTGTTTTGTAAATCACTCATGTACTTTACTCACAAAAGTCCATATCTTACAAATTCTGCAAGGAGTATGTAAACATGAGCACAACTGTATATGGTTGTAATAAAAGATTTTTAAAAAATTAAATATAAAATTATATTTTAGTGAAATCATTTATAATCTGTATATATAACTCATAAGTGTCAAGTAACATCAGGTCTTCAGTTTTCAGAGTAATTGAGGCCTTATATATATCTTTCCAGCATTGAAGCCCTAAAAGCTCATGAAATAAATTTCCTTATTTTAGCCATCAATTTCCATGTAATAGAAAGCATATTTGAAGAAATAAGGATTTATCTCAGAAGTCAAATTAATATTTGAGTAGTTGATAGGACAATATAAAAAGTATTTAAAATGATTAATGCATCTCTACACAATTCGTGTCATTTTATTTGCCTGTTTGTTCATGCATCACATTTAAAAACTGCCCAGGTCTCTCTACAAAGTTCATGATTGTTTCCAAATATTGGGAGCATGTTCAAAATAAAATGACTGGTCTTGAGTTGTATTAACCTGGAAATCAGCTTAAAATGTGATAATGCAAAATCAAATAAACTTGTAAAAATGTGCCAATTCTTGAATCTCAGCCGCAAGGCAATGGCAGCCAGCCCATCACAAACATTTTCTGTTTGGTGTAATATATACACAACACATTTTATTGTAATAAATTACCTTAAAGTTAAACTAACTAAAGCATACAAAGATGATTAGAGGACTGAAGGCTTAAAAAAGAACAGTTGCAGGAATTGGGTATGTCTAGTTTAATGAAAAGAAGGCTTTAGGGGTGACATGACAGCAGTATTCCACTGTTTGAGGGGCTGCCAGAAAGAAGAGGGTTAAAGCACCTGAGGGCAGGACAAGAAGCAATGGGTGGAAAACAATCAAGGAGAGAACCAGCCTAGAACTAAGGAGAAATTTCCTGACAGAACAATTAATCAGTTGCCTGTAGAAGTTTACATGGTCCAACACTGGAGGTTTTTAACGAGATAGGACAACCATTTGTCTGAAATGGTAGTAGTTTCCTGCTTGAGCAGGGGGTTGGACTAGAAGACCTCCAAAGTCTCTCCCAACTCTTGTTATTCTGCTATTGGAAAAGCAACTTTTCCTGGATTACCAGGATAGGGCATTCAGGTTAATGATTCAAAAGATTACATAACAATACCAGTTTCAACAACTTTTCATAAAAGGTTTCTTGGTTAAAAAAAAAACACCTTTGTGTCTTAGCTTTGTTGAGCATTTTTCTCATTATATAAAATAACGACCTCGCCGCTCTGGAAGAAGAATCTGCTCTGCAGCAATGGATTGCCAATAGGCTGCTTGTAACTAGACAATCGAATTGGAATATTGATAAAAGACCTGAATAATATCGTCAAACTGCACTTCTGGTTATAGTCTTATTTATATTCTTTTTAGTTATGATTGTCAATTGTTATTCTATAGATAGTGGGGGAGGGGTCCTTACACTTCCCTTTGGTAACTGAAGCGTTCAAGCTATTTGAGGAACAAAGCGTGTCACGCTGCTCCCGACGTGCCCTAAAGATACGTTTCCCTAAACACGTCTTTTTCTACCACTCACGTTTGCTAAAGTAACGGAAGGGGGAGTTACTCCGAAGTTCCCCCGTCTGCGAGCTCCCTCTTTCTTACCCATCCAGCCGGCTGCCGGGGCCGAGCGTGCGGGATTCGTCCTCCGCCTGTGGCGCTAAAGAGTCCCCGCCCCAGACCAGAAAAGGGGCCGAAGGGAGCGAGCGTGAGCCATGGCGGCCACCCGGCTACCCCCCACGGCCTTAAGCCTGAAGCAGGTAGGGAAGAGACCGCGGCCAGGGCGGAGGCAGCTCGGCCTCCTCTCGGTCTTTGCGGCCGCCTCGCTCCCGAATATCTGCCAAAGCAGCTTTTGTGTTTGGCCGAGGCGCCGGCAGGAACCCGGGCGAGCCTCACAGTAGAAAAAGCTCCGCTGCAATCCGAGAGTCTTGAGAAGGAGGCTCCGGGCCTGGAAGCCTCCACTCGGAAGGAAGCCTGGCATTGCTACGGCAGCCTCCTTGGCAAGCGCCCCGATTTTGACTGGAGACTTAATTCAGGTCATTATTAGGCACCCCAGGAATTACAGGCAGGTCGTCTGCTCGCTCCTCAGTCGCGTTTGGCCACGGGCCTTTTTCTGATTCGGCTTCTTCCTTTCCGAAACATGCACGCTCCTCTGTGACCACTGGACCTGACACTCTATGGCTATTTTGGCCTGGCCTGAATTGAGCCTGCACACTGGATCCACAGAATACAGTCAAAAAAGTAAAAATGGTAGTAGCGATTATATACTCAAAGCTCCCTTTGATGAAAGTGGTGAAGACTGATATAAATATTACATAAAGTCGCCTCTCCATACAACCTTAGCCCATTCAGATGGACAGGTCAGGCAGATGCACAGAACTTACAAATAAATAAGTTGACATAAAATTAACATAGGAGATAGAAGTAAAATATGTGGAGTATTCATGTTTAACTAAATGAATTTAATTTTAAAGAGGGCATGTAATTGTAAATTTGATAGTTGAGACAAACAGGTGGGTTCATGATAACAGTATCCTTTCAAACCCTCAAGGCCACTCTTATGCTGCTGCTGAATTTGTACAGCTTATTGTAAGTGAATTGTTCCATTTTTTTTGCGGAAAGAACAAATGGCAAGAGCTTTGACTTTGACATGACAAAAAGTGAGAGATCCATTCTTTGTTTCCTTTGATGATCTGCAGTTCCTCAGAAGACAGCAGGTTCTTCAGTTATACAGAAAAATCCTCAGGACCATTCGTCAGATCCCCAATGAAGCAGATCGTCGCTACATGAGAGACTGGGCGAGAGAAGATTTCAAAAGGAATAAAGAGGCTACAGATGAGGCAAGAGAATTCTCAAAATGTGATAGACTTGAACATTACAGCTGGTAGCTGGGCCTGAACCTCTGCCATACAGCTTTGCTTAGAGCATTAGATAGGGATTGGAAAATGCATTATGGGTGCTATGCAATGTCAATCAAATGTCAAGTCAAATATTTTGGAATATTAATTCCCATTAAAAGAAGAATTTCCAAAGCTAGTTATGGTAAAGAAAAAGTGATTTCATATTTACATTCTTTTTCTGGGTTTCCAAGAGCTATTAGCTGGAGCCTGATGAAATGGCATATATACTTTGAATTTAAGAATTCTGAGTCCAGGAATTAATTTCAGGTAAGAGAAGTGAGCAAAGTAAATCCTGTTTAGGATTCTTTCTATGGAAAGGAGAATAATTTAAATCATTGCCTTGCTGAATAATGCTTCCAAAATTGAGTAGTTGTTCTGGTAAAGAAGAAAAGCCATATTTTCATGATAGTTTTATACTTCTTCTTTTTTTGCTTTATGCTGCCACTTGTGAGATGGCTGCTCGTATAAATTTGACAAATGTACTTGTTTAAATTACTTTGCCTACTAAGTATAACGTTTTTGTTTTATAGGATGCAATTAAGATGATGATCACTCATGGCAACCTACAGCTTCAGGAGCTTGAGAGAACACTAAAATTGGCAAAATCCTAGGCTTAATTCTGCTTACAAGTCAAAACAATTTTTCATTGTATCTAACGGCAAAGACATTAAGTGGGAAGAGCCCTGCTGATCATCCAAAGATGTCCAGTGTACACTTCTCAAAAGTTAGATGGAAGACCTGATGAATACTCTTTGTCGTAGTATAAATGCCATATGCCTGAAAATTAAGGTGCAATAAGAATAAAAAGACAAGCAATTACAGCAACATCCGGACAATCCATGTGAAAAGTGCAGAAGTAGAGAAAAGGAATTTGATCTTAGATTTATGAATTACACTTGTAAATATAAGAATACCATCACTTATTTGAACAATTTACTTTTACATGTATTATTTTACCTAGAGAGTTCCACAAAGTAAAGAACTATCATTTCTTCACAAAGCTTTGAAGGGATGATTTAATGAAATATAATATGCCTTTGAACTGAATCACTGAATTTAATCTCCAAGGTAATAAAGGTATTTCAGAGTGGCTTCAGTCAAATTTGAAGGGGGTTCTATGGACTTTTCATAGTTTTCGGCTTCAGTGTTGTTATTTTTGTTCTAAAAACAAGTTGAAGGAGAACTGAATCTTTTCTTACATTGACATGAGTTGGCCAGTGTTTATTGTAAGTTGGTTTTAGCAAAATAGCCAGTAAATTTTATCTCTTTCTAGAACTACGCCTATGGAAGTGATTCAAGTACTCTGGTGAAGAAGGTGTAGAGTGGTATAGAGTGGAACCACTCTGGTGTAGAGTGGAACCAATATTGCTGTTATATATCTTCATCTCTTCTATTAGAATTTGTTTAAGTAAATTTATTTGTAAAAAGAAAAATAAAGAGATCTGGTTTTATTACTCCTTTTTTGAAGCAGTATATTATTATTTTTTAACAATATGGCAAGATTCTGTCAGGGAATTTTACTGATTGGCTGAGCTGTAAAACTTTAATTAGTATTGCAGTTTAGAAGCAGTAGGGCAGTGTTGTGGAATTACAAATCAACACTCCGGGTTACAATATGCAACTTGGCTTGAGTTTCAAGAGGTATAGCACAGGCCATAAACCAGTCCAATGATAAAGGAATCATAAAAAGACAGGATATTGACAGTAATATTAGCAAAATTATTGCAGCAAGGTTAAGCCTTTTGAGTTGCCTTAAATATATCACTTGAGTATTCTTTATTCTGGTGCAGCTGAAATTCTGCAGCCTTTGTTAGATTCCAATGCCACAAAGCATCATCTCCATTCATTACTCCTCCTTGAGAGGTGACTTCAGTACTATTTTCACAGATTAGGCATACGTCTCTGGTTTTCTGCATCCTTAAAGGCTGGGAGACTTTGCTTTCATTTCCAGATTCAAGTCTTGGCATTAGAATCAGGACTGGTTATCTTCTATTATGATCACATGCCTTCTAATTCCTGAATCAAAATGTATTGAAATAACTTAAAGGAATGGAATTACTTTGTGTCACTATTTAATATTAGTAATGTTCTTACCATAATATTATACATAATGAAAAGACTCTTCGGAAGCAGCTTTTTGTTCCAGGATTATTATAAACTGTTCTACTGGCATAAAATGCTGAAGTACATGTTTCACTTGGCAATTAGGTATTTGTTTCAGGAAGCATAAAAGGTCATAGAATCAGTTTGGTGTAGTGAGGAAGGTGCTGGCCTAGAAACCAGGAGACCATGAGTTCTCATCCCACCTTAGGCAGGAAAATTGACCGGGTGACTTTGGGCCAATCAGTCTTGTCTCAGCTCAACCCACCACACAGGATTGTTGTAGGGAAAAGAGGAGGAGGAAGTGTGCATGTTCACCACCTTGAGTTATAAAATAATAAAGGTGGGATAAAAATAAAAGAAACAAAAGGTGGCTGGTAGCAAGTGTGTAGAAAACTTGGATCTACCACAATCTTGAACTCCTATGGAAATCTAGCCCATAGAACTCTTGTCTGTTACCCTGCTGATCAATGGAAGGTATATATTCATAATACAACTTAAATAAGAGCTAATAAATATTCACACTGAATTGTAGATTGATGTAAGCAACACAAGAAGAAATGTAAGAGCAAGAGACGGCAGAGTATGATGGTTTGCATCTCTACAATCAACTGGCATATATGTAAGACAGCTGCAGCATCCTGGGGTCAGGGGATCATAATTTGCAACTTTCTGTGCCAGCTTCCAACATATGAAGTCAACGGGGGGAAGCTGGATCCACTTAATTGCATGATTCAATTAACCACCATGGCAAAAAAACATTGTAAAATTAGGCACAACACCAACTTGCTTCGCAACAAAAATTGTGGTCCCAGTTGTCATAAGTTGAGGATTACCTGTATTCAACTATATTACCCTTATTCTTGGCTGCACAACAGTCAGCTTTTTAGCATGAGAAGAGGGGCGCAAAGCCTATTTTCAATCCCTTGCTACACCTTCCCAATGAGTAACAGCAAGTCTCCCAAGTCAGCATTGCAACTGAACAATCTGGTCATCATGAAACCCTCCAGAAACTGCAACAATTTCCCATATATAAAATTGTTAGGGCTGGGAGTGCTTGCGATTCACAAAGTCCTGTACAATATAAAACAGGTGTCAAAGTCGCATAGTCATGTTGCTGGCATGGGCATGGCCAGCACGTGACACATCTGCCCATGAGTTTGACTGCCCTGATATAGACGAAAATAATAGTATTTCTAATGTTGACCACTGTTTGCAATTTTCAAAATTCAACATAAATATTATGGTTAAGACCTAGGTTCTAGTCCACCATCAGCCATAGAAGCTCAATGGATGATTTTAAACCAATTGCTTTCAATTCAACCTTCTTCACAGGGTTATTACTTGTACCATTCTTGTCCAGTGTTCAGATAACCAGTGCCCCAAAACATACCCAGTGTTTAGCTCACACTATAATAAAAATACCATACTCAATACTATAAAATGCTTGAACTTAAAAAATGTTTAATATGTAATAAAATGGTTTATTATAAAATAATAAAACTTTAAAGAATTCACAAAATGACACAGGGACTGAAAAACAAGAATAGACATTCAATCACTCACACCCAGCAGTGTACCTGAAGAGAACTGATAGGTAACAAACGCATTCTACCCAGAATTAGTATCACAACTAGCACTATTTAGAGCTAAAACAACATTTTGCCCATCAATGAAGTGTTGGCTTAGGAAAACTGGTTTCCTCGAATAATTTCATGGATACTTCATCATCTTTAAAGGCATGTTCAATATGAGTGAAATTGTTCATGAGTGTCCCCTGCCCTAAAATTGCTTCAGTGGAGTTTGTGAAAACAGCAATGGGCCCTTTTCTTGAGCCATGCAAGGGCTAGTTTTCCTTCTGCATTTTAGTCCTTAGCTTCTGCAGTTCCTCTTCTAAACTTTTAATGTGTTCTTTAAGGACAGCTTTATCTTCCTGAGCTTTCTGGTCAGCTTGGCAACGAGCTTCTTCTATCTTTCTCTCATACCACTTCTCCATCTGACTTGACACAGCCTCAAAGAAGTACTGGGTAATTTCCAAAGCTTGAGATGTGCCTGCCAGCTGAGGACTGCCCTCCTTTCCTTCAGGGGCAGAAGGTGGGGGCTGCCCAGTTGGAGCTTCTCCTGGTTGGTGGGACCTGTGCTTCAACTGACCACTTTTACTTGGTTTCTTGGTTTGAGTCCCTTTGTCTATCAAGCAGCCGCTCTGGGATTCTGCCTTTGTACGTTCAGGAGAAGCCTGCAAAACAGTTTGTACTTTTACATGCCTTAGTCTGGAAACAGAGTGTTCCACTCCTGGTGGTTCTTGCTGCAATCTGTTGAAATTTGCTTTATCCTTTGGCCTAACCACTTGGGGAGATGCTGCAGGAGGAGGAAGGACAGCACCACCCACTGACTGTTGCTCTGTTCCTGTAAACCGAAAGATAACAAATAATTATAAGTGCTTGGAGTTAGGGAAGCTTCAGAAAGGCCCAAGCCAAACAGGAGAATTGGAATCATAGCCCCAATACAGGATGGCAATGGATAAGGTCAAACTTCCTTAATGCAGTTTTGATCCAAGGTGAAGAGAAGAGAAGAGAAGAGAAGAGAAGAGAAGAGAAGAGAAGAGA